GGGCAGGGGGGTGGCGCGAGGAAGGGCAGCCGAAACCTGCTGAAAGCTGCCCAAGGGCTCTGGGTGGGCATCCCTATGCAGGCCACGTGTGTCTGAAGAGGGGTTGCACGTGGCACAGGCTGGTGGGCCAGTTTGCTTGCACTGAGCCTGAGACTTCCACAACTCACCCCTTCCCGTCCCCTGGGAGCACTGGCATCAGTCCCACAGCATCATTTTGGGGCTTCTCCCCCTTGTGGGACCCCCCCGTGCCCAGCCCTGCCACACAGCTCTGGGACTGCACCCCACTGGTGTCCCATGTGTCCCCACAACGCCTCCCACCCTGGCTGCGGCTGGGCGCCGCGTCCCCAGCTCCAGTGCATGAGGCACAGGGACCCTGCCATTACCCACAAAATTTAGCAAGAAACTAAGCAGCTACTCTTCAGCGACCGACTAATAAAATGTCCTTGCGCTTGTGCCAGTCTCCGTTTAAGCAAAATAGAAGAAATTGCAAAAGTAGCCATAACAGGCAGCAAGTTTTAAATTTTGGAAAATTGTTGACAATGTTGCTTGTCAAGCCAGCGTCAGGAGCTGGGGAAATTTGTAATTCCTACCAAAGCAGCTGAGGTCTTAGGCTCTGTGGAGGTCTAAAAAGGCAAAGGAGAAGAGGTGCTAGAAAAGGGCAAATAATTTAAGGCCAAAGAGACATAAAATAAATGAAAAATATATTGGTAGGGCACCAAATGAAAAATATACTAGTAGGGCACCCTTTGTGGAATGGATTTTTAACCAGGTTTCATATTACTAATTTCTGGTAGCATGCATTGAGTTCCTTCTAGACTATTAATGACAGTGAAATGAACTCTTCTGTTCTCTCTCAAATGCTGACTTAATTTTTTTCATGCTTTACAGCACAGGTGCAACAGATTTAGCCTGTTATTTTTAATCAGTTTGGAAAATAAACAGAACACTTCCCACATGTAATTTTAAATGAGCAATATCCTATTTTGATACAAGGGGTGTGCTCTCTGTCTGGGTAACATTTAACTGTATAAATGGTAGTAATCAGTTTTCTTTAAATTAAGCTAAAACATGCAGATGCTCCTTGGAGATGTACATGTATGCTAGCAGCTACTTAGTGGAGAGTGGTAAGAATTGAAGAAAAACATATGAGGAAAAATATATTTATCCTTATAAAACTGGCAGTATGGATGTATAAAATTAACCTCTCTGTTCTGTGAATAGCTTCATCCAGAATAACCATCCCAATATTCAAATTACTTTTAAGAAGGCTAAGTTCTGGAGGAGTTGTGCTAATAACAAAGTATGACTTTTGGAGACCAGAAGAAATGTCGTATGAACAATATGGCATTCTGGTCCTCTAAAATAATCAGGTTCATTGAATCGGATTGATAATATTTAGAAATTATTCTTTCCATTTACCTATTCTGACCAGAGTAAAAAGACCATGAGCATGTCATTGCAGATTTTTAAGGACTTGAGAACTGCCTCAAATCGTATCTGAGAGAAGTGCCTATGCCATGTGCCTTGCAATCTTCTTCCTCAGGACAGTTCCAGAGTACCTGAAATGGAAGCATTTCCTAAATATTTTTTGCAGTTTTTTAAAACTTAATTACATTCTGGGAAGCTCCACGCTGCTGTTACTTAAGACACTGAAACTACCTGCTCACTTGGAAGTACCCTCCTGGGCTGTAGAGCAAACCATTCCTGAGGAGAAGTCACTGCTCATTTGCTGAATTTTGTATCAGAGAAGTATCACTGAATTTTCAAATTGTTGCAAACATACATTAACTGGATTTTACAGGTGGAAATGGTGAATTTTAGGGACTGCTTCCTTTCCCTAAGCCAAAGGAATCACCATGGAGCCTGGTAGTTCAGCCAGTAGTTCAGCTCCAGCCTTTGCCAGTTCAAAGCCTGACATTGTCCCTGACAGACATTCCCTGAGTTAGGTGTCAGGATCAATAACAGGAAAAAAAAATCTCCATAGTGGAGGCATGAAGTTTGTGGCTTCAAGCTGGTGACTAGTACCAGTCAGTGTAAGAACTGTAGCACAAACAGGGGACGCTCGAGCGGATGCAAGACTAATGCACCTCAGTATTGCTTACCTGTAGAAGCGGAATAGTTGTATCGGCACTCTCCTGCAGCCTGCTTGCTTAAAATGCATTAAGGAGCCTTGAACTGTATTTCGTGAAAAGGAGTTATCTCATACCTATTAGGATCTGGGAGGACTGACTTTGGTTTTATAGGACTGAAATCCGATTATGTCTTTTTTTCTTTTCCATTTTAGAATACAGCTGATGCAGTATGTAATTTATGGCATTGCATCATTTTTCTTCTTATATGGAATAATCCTTTTGGCAGAAGGTTTTTATACAACAAGTGCTGTGAAGGAATTGCATGGAGAGTTCAAAACGACAGCCTGTGGCCGCTGCATCAGTGGAATGGTGAGTAGTGTTAGAAACGGGAATGTTCGTCTTTGCTTGCTAAAAACTGTTGGGCTCGGTTTGACTCCCATGTTTTTGAACACCAATATATCGCTGCCTTCTTTGTTTAACTCCTTACGGGTGGTTAGAGTCAATCCCTGTTGCTGGTCCTTCTTTGAACTTTGAGGATGCTTGGTCAAATCCAAATTCTGCAGAGGGACCATCAGGGTGCTACCATGGCCTCCCCTGTCATAAAGCTGAACCCACTGGTCTAAACTAAGTTGATGGAGACTGCTAACTTTAAAACACTCAATGGGAGACAAAATGAAATCCGTGCTCTTACACATGGAGCGCACTAGTGATGCTTAAAGGCAGACTGCAAAATGGCTGTTGTTTGCAGAGCTATTTAAATAACAAACTGTAATGCCTCTGACTTCCGTAGTCAATTCTGCTTGAGGATGTCTGGATCCTTCAGACAAACAGTAATGAATGAAGCTTCGCAACATCTTTGCACTTGAGTCAAATATTGCCGTCTTGCTTTTGCAGATGGCAGAAGGCATACAGATACAATAGTGAGTCTTTTTCGCAAAGCTGGAACACTTAAAGCCTTAAAGTTACGAGCCATCTTCCCTTAAGTGTACTTCTGTATTAGAACAAAATTTTAAACAAAGTTTAACTAAAAATAAAACTTCAGATTCTCATCCATGTTGCTCCCTAAGGCACACTCTGCAAGAACAGAAACATAACTGTGTTTCTGAGACAGGATTTCAAAGCTATTTCTGAAAATCTGAAATCAAAGCTCGTAGTTATGGAGGAAGCTAAGCAGTATGACAGATCGCCCACGGGAAAGTGTGGGTAAAAGGAGAAGAGGCTTTTGATGCAATTGTTGCATTTTAATATACGATCTATATCCTGTACGTAAAAAATCTGTACTTTCAGCTGGTTAAGTACAAAGGAGATGCATGTTTATTTTCAAGAGGGTTAACAGTTTTCCACTGTGCTGTTGGATACTTACTGAATTTTTCAACAGCTAATAAAAATAAGACATCTGATCATTTCCCAGTTAAGCATCTATTTGCTCGCTCTTTTTCTAGCAAGTGTGATCTTCACTGAGGAGCAAAATTAGATCTAAAGCAGTGTTTTCCAAATACCCAAAATACAGTAAAAACATACACATACCTGCATCTCATTAGTGCAGACAGTTGCTTGTGCAGTTGAGTAGTTGCAGGCACATGATTGCCAGCTGCTTATACAAATACCAGTGTGACACATGGAAATATGACAGAAAAGTGTGTTTTCATGTTTCCCTGTATTTGTCCACACAACGAAGGAGAGAATTTAGCAGCTGAGTAATGGCATGGAGCTCTGGTAAGACACATCAGTGGTTAGTGGTGACAAGTCAAATGCCTGTATGCCACTGTGTAGTGGTAGAGCTGCTTAAAACACCAGGGTTAGAACAAGGTTTGCAAGGAGATACAATATCTTAACAGACTAATGGCTACAGCTGGGTACAGACAACAAGCTTTTGGACATGCAGTGATTTTTTTTTGCCTCTTTGATCAAGAGCTCCTCTACTTCTTCCTCCGTTACATTACTGAGCGAGGTCCTGAAAGGTAGTCCCTTCCATCTTGCATAAGGTTATTACAGAAGACAGACTTCCAACTTCCCTAAATTATTTGTGTCGGCCGTGGTAATGCAGAATAGCCATTTCGCGCAGTTATCACATTAAATGTGAGAGTGTGTTTTTTCCTGGCTATTCTAGGAGTTAAAGGCTTTGTGTGCTTCCTCGCATGCACACTTCCACATGTACGTATGCGAAACCACATTTTATGTAGAGTCTATCTACAGAAAGCCTTTAAACTGCTCCACTTGGTCCTTACCGAAATCCAAAGAGATTCTCAATTCTCACATAAAACGTACAGGTCTGGTGTATAACGCTATCTAATACGAAATAGGATATTTCAGTTCAGTTGTGTATAAATTAAAGGCTAGCTGGGTTTTTTATGGTCCTTAGTTTTGCAAGCGCTTCCACCTCCTCCCATGCACCACCTTCGTTCACTCTCAAATCTAACCAGTTGCTCAACCTTTGCTGTAACGTTTGCAGTGTTGTTCAGTGTGTCTGGACAAAAAGCTACGGGGATGCAAACTTCCACTGCTGCAGCAGGTTCAGTCTGTCAGTTCTGGGCCAGGCTGAGGCAACCTCCACCCCTCAGAGCCTTTCCCATCCTTGCTGTTCTTCTCTGGCACGCAAGTTTCAAGTGAGATAGTACAGCATCAGTGCTTTGCTGGAATTGAAGCCTTTCCAGTCCACCTACGGTCAAATAACAGTGAAAAGGGACCACACAAGATGTAACAGCATTCCCCCGCTTTCCCAGTGGGATCCAAATCCCAGTCTCACCAGGAGGAGGGAGCTAGGAACTGCTGCCAGAGCTACCGTTTCACCATAAAACTTAGAAGAGGGAAAAGGCAAGAGGTCCAGTGGGAGGGGGAAGGTGGAGATTTCCAAAGCAATGAGTGCCGTACCTTATGATCTTGCCAAAGACAATGCACATCTTATTTTTTTTTTTAAAAAGAGCAAACCCAAACCAGCAGATTTCAGTGGAAAATCCATGATTCTCTAAGGTGAAGTAACTAATTTTCTTCTTGGCAGTGTGTATTAGATCAATTGAATCTTTCTGAGCTGCTGTAACGGTCGTGGTCTGTTTTCAAAAATAGGTAGTCTCAAATGTTACATTCCAAATTACTTTCAATAAATCAGGGAGTACGGGAGAGCTCTGTGAACGTCAATTCTCTCTGTTGTTTTGATTGCAAGTTGTATAGAAATGCTAGTACATTACAGTTAATTAAAAAAACTCCTTTGATTGATTTTTGTTGGAGTTTTGTTGGTTTTAGCCTACAACCAGCATCCCTGCTTGGCTGAGAATCTTGAGAAATTAAGGGACTGCTCTTTCAGGAGGGCAAGCTGTTTACTCAAGCAGGCTGATGAAAAAGGAAATGTCTGAATTACTTTCTCAGTAGCACTTAAACTACCAAAGTATTTGTAAGCAATGAGAATACTGATTTTATTTGTGCTTGGAAATCAAATATTTTTTTTACTGATTTCTGAAAGTATGCTTAAAGATTATTTTTAAGCATTTTTTAAGGAAAATTCAAGTGTTCTTTTCAAAGAATAAATGTGAAGCGCTTGTGTTTTCTCTGCCCAGTTTGTTTTCCTCACCTATGTGCTTGGAGTGGCCTGGCTTGGGGTCTTTGGCTTCTCTACTGTGCCTGTCTTTATGTTCTATAACATATGGTCAACTTGCGAAGTCATCAAATCTCTTCAGACAAATGTGACAGTTCCAGGGGACCAGATCTGCGTGGATATCAGGCAATACGGTACTCATTTTAATCCTGATTAAATGCTTTATCCTTTCTCCTTGGTCCGTCTTCAGTAGTTTTTGTCTCGGCCTTATCAAATGAACCAAATGCAAAAGCATCTTCTATCTCTGAATGTGCTATTACTTTTGTAATTAATTCAGATTACACTGATCTCTTTCCAGATGCAATCAATTTAACTGAACTGGCAAGTCATTTATCTAAAATGATTTTCTAGCGGTTTCCAATACTATAATATTAGGTTTAAAAATAGATCAGCCTCAAAATAAACTGCTTAGAAACAGCGCTGAGAAATAGATAACCGGATTCTGGTTTCTGAACCCCCATGTGCCTATATTCTTTCCTTTCAAAAAGCTGTTTTGACATTTAAATGTGAAGTTAACACCTGAACTTTGCTCTGACAATTACTTTCAGTAAGAAGACCAAAAACCTGCAATCAAGAGTCTGCCTTAATTATTAATGAATTTATACTGCTTTCTGATGACACACAGAAATCCGAGGGGGGTGCAGGTAGCAGAGGACTGGGACAGTAGCTTAAAATAGCGTCAGGCATTTCAACCAGTTCGTTCCTTAAGGTGAATTTTTCCTGAAGTTAATCTTTTCAGCTTCCCTTGTGTGGAAGAGCTTTTGTGACTGTTACATTTGGCTCCATTTTAGCTAGCATTTTCTAGGAATGTTTCTTTGGACTAAGTAGTTCAAAGCTGGGAAAATGGATTCAGAGTTGAAAAAGTAAGAAGGCTTGGTTTTGCTTTCCTATCTGGGCTGTTAGTCCAGTAGGAGAAGATAAGATATATTAATTGTAAAAGCATTAAGTCCCAAATCAGTTAAATGTTTGCAACTGACAGCAAGAGGGTGGGAAGACGTTGTCAGCAGCAAAGCCTAGGAGTGCAGGGGGAAGATGTGCTCCTCCGCCGTTCTGGTTGTTTTTGCAGCTGTACGAGCACCATGTAGCGCTGTGCTGTTTCTCTGATCCGTAAAATCATTTGGGTTTCAATGAGTGATGGGAGAGAGCAACTCCTTAACAGACAACTTGTGTCACTGAACTGTCCTCACATTTTTGGGTGGAAGCTTCAAAAGGCTTCAAGCATATATTGCAATTGCAGAGAAGAAGCTGGCTTTAAAGTAAATCCTACAAAAGCTTTTTGAAAGCCATACCATCCTGAGATAATTTCAATGTCTTGCCCCTTACAGAGTTGCTAATTCCAACCAGCCGAGTTTCAAATATAAGTTATATGGAGGAGACAGAGCGATTTTCTCCTGTTTCAAATGGCTTTTGCTTAAGCTTTACATCTGTTATGGGCCTAAAAGTTTAGGTTCTTTTAAACCTTCTAGATCCTGTCAACTTTTCACATTTGCAGTCATGTAAGAAAAGTAATTGGGAGTATGTGAGGTGCAGCAGACTGAATTTTCTTGTAGCAGTGTTCACTCAATGCTTTTTTACCTACTGGAACGCTTAAAGCAGAAAAAAAGCCTTCTATAATTCTTCCCCTCTAGCTCCATATTCACACTCTTCTACAGTAGTTACTTGTTCAAGTAGAACTTAATCTAGAAAGTGCTATCCTGAAAGGTGCCAAGTACCTCTGAGATGCAGATTATCCCTTTCAGTGCTGAGTTGGGGAGTAGGCAGTATGCGACTGGACCTGAAGTGCAAAAACCCAACCAACCATTTGGCTGCCATATGGGAAAACCACATCTGAGAACATATCTTGGCAGCACACCTCAGTGCAGGGAGGAAGCACACACAACTCGAGTGAGTTGTTTTAATTCCTCCCTCCAGCTCAAAGCAGTACTGGTCAACGTGCGGATGCCCAGAATGGGAACACAACTGGCAAGTGGGTGGAAAAGATGAGAGAGGAACAGAAAGCGTGTGTTGATTGCTAAAATTAGTGGTTTCTTTTGCTGTGGTATTTCAGGTATTATCCCTTGGAATGCTGTACCTGGCAAAGCCTGTGGCCCGATTTTAGAGAACATCTGCAACACGAATGAGGTACAGAAACGTAACCTGTGTGCAGCTTTTGCCTACAAGTCACTTGCGCACTGTGTAGTAAATAACTTGATGAAAGTTTTCGGAGAAAACTAATACTAGTAGTATAAAGAGGTTGATTTAAACACAACGCTGAAATTAATTCTGTTAGGTCGTCCAAAAAATGAAAATTATTTCAGAAGATTTTTATTTTCTAAAGCTTTGAATACCTTGCTACGAAGATGGTTTTATTATCCTTATTCCCTAGAACAGTTGAAATGCATTTTATACTATCCTCAATTACTTCAATGTTTTTAACATGTGTTTTTCTCTAGTTCTACATGTCTTATCACCTGTTCATTGTGGCTTGTGCTGGAGCTGGTGCCACTGTCATAGCATTGGTGGGTAGTATTTTTTTGTTGTTTTACTGTGTAACATGTTCCTTTCAGGCTTAAGATGCTTTAAGATTAAATTCCATGTTATCTTAAAAATAGCGAGACTAGACATTAAGGCGGGCGAGCTGTAATCCCCGTTATTTGCTGCTATGGTTGGGTCATTACAGGTCAGCAGGTCCGGAACTTTTGCTTTAAGAAGTCACCTTAACCCACCTCCCCCATCCTTAGAATAAAATTCTTTGCATGTCCTTTGAAAATCATACTTCTACCCACTATTTCTATTTTTATGCCTATGATTTCTTTTCATTTTTGTAGTTTATTTGATCAATTGCCGGTAACCTCTTGGCTTTCTTGTCTGGAGCCAGGCAGTTTGACTAGTCCCGCTCTGCAATGCCCCTTACAGGTAGCAGTTGGAAAAAGGGACGTTAACAAGATGACCTGCTTCGTGGGTCTAACGCTTCCTCTAGCTGCAGGCTTCTAACCTCGTGTCAGCCAAATCTAGGTGTAATACTCGCTGTTCATTGACGAAATAGCTTTAGGTCTGTATGTAGGTTATCTTCTCCGGATAAATGGCAAGTTATTTATCTTGCATCTTCACCCTGGAAGAAGCTCAGAGTAACTTCTGTTGTAAAAGTATCAACAGTTGCCCAAATGGGCTTGAGCCGTCACCTTGTTGTATCTTACTCTCCTGTATTTTGTTCTCTTCCACCAGCTGATCTACATGATGGCTACTACATATAACTATGCTGTTTTGAAGTTTAAGAGTCGGGAAGATTGCTGCACTAAATTCTAAATTGTATAAGCCCAGTACAGAGCTGCATTGCGTAGCTTGAAATACCACTGACACCCTAGGCTAAAAGTCTAGCTTTCTGAATTTTGTTACAGTAATTGTAAATAGCTTCAGTAAGCATCATTTAGCTTATCAGATTAATAAAATGACTTCTTGTATATGAACTATGATGTGGATGAGATCTGGCTATTTTTTCATGTCGAGAGGATTCAGTTACTGTAGGGGTGTTTATAAATCGTCCTTCTGAAGATGGGGTGTTTCCATTTCAAGTCGCCACTTGCTTTCTAACAGTCATCTCTCAAACAAATACTGGAACAGTTCAGGGTCAGAATTACTAATTTATTCTTCGTCCTGAACACCAAACGCAACCCCCCTGAGCATACAAAATATGTATGATGCAAAAGAAAAGGACCAGTAAAGCGGTGCCAGTCTCTTTTGGCAGAAATCAGAAGCCCAGGTATGACGAATTGGTTGGCTTGTATTTCCAGTGCAGGGATGATAAAGTTGATTATTTTCTTTTACTTCGTTTTCAAGTAATTGCCAAATCATGCTCTCTCTGGAAGGAAATACATGCTTGCATTAGCTCTGCGTACAACAATCACGTTCTTTCTTTTGGACCCTGAACTAGTAAGAAACAGCGTATAAATAGCTTCTCTTCTCGTATGGCTTGCACTTTAGTAACTGATTTCTCAGTAGCCAGATCTCAAAACTGTAAGTATGACTGCACGTGAAGCAAAACCATGCATAAATCATAGAGACCTTTTTACACTGTTGGGATTTAAAAAAAAGGAGAAGTGAATCAGTGTTTTCTGATGTAGATTTTTTGCACGAAGTATGGTGAAAAGAAGTTGGGAAGAGATGAATGCACAAACTAGAAAAAATCCACACAAGAATAATGTAATAATACAAAAAGAGCCAGTTGCTATATATGATATAAAGCTCTTCACCTGAGGTTGGACAATGGAAGTTTAAAATGTAGTTATAAAAAATATATGATTAAGACTTCTTAACCCAGAGATTGCATGCTTTTGCTTAGTTTTGGAGTCATGTTTTGTTGTTTAATTTTTCAATATGTTAATGTAGCCTTGTTCACATAAATAAAACTGTTTACAGTTTCAGGCTTTTTTCAGGGGGAGGGTGGAATTCTCATCTGCTTGTTGGGGAAAAAGAATTACCAGGATCGGGGCTTGGATATGCATCAACACCACAACCTTAGAAAGCAGTCCTTCTGAGCACCTCGTAGTTTCCCGATTACATAAATTGCCACGCACAAAACTTTTTTCCTGCTTCCCCCCCATTCTGCATTTCAATTGACCCGTACAACTCTGTAAGCTCATTTTAGTACTGTTATACTAACTTCCTCTAAATTGTGAATAACCAACTGAAGTATCAGCATGCCATATTCTAGAGATCTTTGAAAATAGCCTCTGTGCTTGTTTTAAATAACAGAATGCTTATTAACGTAGAATAACTTTTTTTTGGTCGTTATTTTAAAGAGTGTCTATTAATCTAACTAGCAGCTTGCTTTGCCTCTTGACATGCTCACTAGCCATCATGCTCACCCTTCTCTTCCAGATCCACTTCCTCATGATACTGTCTTCTAACTGGGCCTACTTAAAGGATGCAAGCAAAATGCAGGCCTACCAGGATATCAAAGCAAAAGAAGAGCAGGAGCTTCAGGATATCCAGTCTCGGTCAAAAGAGCAACTCAATTCTTACACATAAATGCTTGCCACAGTAATTCAGCAGAAGAATTCTGTCGCTCTGACAAATCAACAAATAGCTGCTCTGCAGTACAGATGTGTGTCTACCAAACAAAATTAGAGAGAAGTGCAAAAGCTTCACATTCCAGCTCCTGGAACACATTCATAGGGAAATCTTCCCACGGGTAATCTTCCATCCTTTCATACAGAGAATGGAGCTTTTATTCCAGGCATTTTAAAAGGCAACACTTCACAATAAGTGACCAAATTCCTCTTCTTCGAGCCTTTTGGTATTTAATATTTGACACGGTCTACAGCATGACGTCCTGCACAAAACCGCAGCAGGTGCTCCAAACCAGCAGGCAGGTAGATCTCTGTACAGGCCTTAGGCAAAGGCCCGCCTACGGGGTGTGATTTCCTATCTCGGTTTAGGTACCAAATGAAACCGTGGCCGGCTGAGGTTTCTGGCGGCTCGTGCTCGCACGACAGCACAGTTGCAGCAGTTCCCAAGTTGCAACAGGGCCGTCTTTGCCCGCTCTCGCCGTGGGCTGCAGGAACAGCGCTCTACTTCTGTGCCACTTTTTTATGACGAAGCAGTCACACCTCCGGTGCTTACGTGAGCGTTGAGCAGATGCCCCAAGTTTTAATCTTTTTATTAGCTATTTAATGGAATGTAGATCCCCAGATCTGGATAATGATCTCCTCCTTTGAAAATAAATGTCAGCTTTGCCTTAATGTTTATTTTCTATAAATGTCTTAGCATTTATACAGTGGCAGGAGACCATTAACCTACATTTTAAGTAAGTGAAAAGTGTTACCTTATTAAAATGACACTGAGCTGACTATTCCAAATGAGCGGATGAGAAAGTTTGCAGAGTTTTACACAAACGATAAAAATTACAGCCATAAAACAGAATACAGGATGTCCACCTTTCTCTATCTTTGGTGCTTAGCAAATTTATAGTCAGTGCTTATGTGTTTTCCTTTTTACAAATTAATTAGCACATTAAGAAAACGTGGTGTTCAGAAAAAAAAAAAAAAACCACAAACAACAAACTGGTGCCATTTTAAAGTTATTTCCCATAGAAGTCTGCCTTCTAATTAATGGTTTTTTTCAGAAGCATTCAGTGATATCTTGAGTATTAGTGATGGTATATTTGGTGTTTGTTCTGTATGATATATATATATATAAATGTTGGGGGGGAAAGTAAAATACATCAGTCATTTGAAAAAAAATTAAATATGCCGGTCATACCCGTGTTAAGCTGACATGTGGTTTGATACTTTTGACTGTTTGCTGAACATAAATCAAAGCAAGCACAAATTTCTTCAAGTCAGTATTAAGAGAAAAGGCATTTGGGGGGGGGGATTTAACGTCAAATATGATTCTTTTTTGTTAAATATTGAAGTCTAACTTGACAGTTTCAGAAAAAGGGGCAAATTTGATCAATGTAGAGAAAAATATGACAAAATAGCCTCGTGTGTGTTCTTACCTGTTGCATGAAGGAGACATTTCTACGGCAATGCAGGTGATGTTCTAGCCCAGTGTTTGCATAAGGGTAATAACGGAGGCAGTGTCTTAAAGCCTAATTCTTTTCTAATTCAGTGTAGCTACTACTGGGAGTTTTTGAAGTTTTGTTTAAGTAGTCTAATATTTTTATGTAAAGAGCATTAAATTTTGCTATGTATAAATTTTTGTAATCTAACAGTGAATCAATATTTTCTATCAGTGCCAAGGGCTTCCTGTAGTTACATCCAAGTGTTAAAATAAATATTTGTAGATAATAGACAACACTCGTGTACGCTTATTTGAAACCAGACCTACAGCTACGCTGTACTAGCCGCATCGCTGTGCTTTCTGTCTCTATCGGACTTTAAACGCGTTCTGTTCAGTAGTACCCGTTTGCTCCTGTACTGGGAAAGGATGCCCTGTAGGCGTACGCTTCCGCGTGGTAAGTCGGCCAGCCTTCTAGCATGAAGCAGTGGTAGCTGTTCCAGGCCAGCATAATGCAACACGCACTACCCCTCCCATCCTGGACATCAAACAGGAGTCGCCGCTTAGAAATTTTGTAAATGCCGGCGTTGCTGCACCACCAGATGAAGCAGCATGTAAAACTAGACTAGCCACTGAATCGCTTTTTCTCTTCATTGCTAAAAGCAAAGTTTACTTCTGCCACATTCTCGGTACATCATGGTTCAACAGCCAGTGAATTCACAAGACGGAGCGTTGGGTTTTGCCCCTAAATTCTGTCAAACTCGGCTTCATGTTCCTGTAGTTAGGTCAAGATGAGCAGCCTCAACCGCAGTGCAAGTTGCAATATATGCTGCCACCCAAAATGACTTCATTGATAAAAAAAAATTACTGTATTTTATACTGTAAATAAAGTTTAATGATCTTGCCTATAATCTACCTACAAAATACAAAGCTTAAATAAAGATGAGTTAAATAGCATTTTTATTTGATTCTCTCCATTCTGGGCTGGTTAATACCAACAAGGTGATACACGAGATATGGCTGCTTTTAAAAGTGGTTGTTTCCCCTGCTGTCAGCTCGGTTCTGTCGCTCTCTGAAACTGCGCGCAAGCCAAGGGTCTCTGCAGGCCACCGTTAAAAAAAACAGATGGTGATTGGATTTTTTTTTTTTTGTTCCCTGTATGCTGTTACTTTGACCTACAGATTGTAACAGTTGGAGGGAAAGGGTGGGGGGAGCACCACTTGGAAAGCTGTTAACCTTTCTAGGAAGGCAGCAGCAAAGCCAATCTACCTGAGCATGCCTGTTCATGGCTCTGCTCTGCTTTGTCCTTGCTCTCACCCCACGCAAGGGCCTCCTGTCCAACCTAGACGATTCTACGATTCTAATAACACATAAGGGCTCCCGCTTTGAAGTCAATGACTGAAGTGATGAGAGCTCAAAAATCAGCTTTATTAATTTATGATTACACAGCCTGCAATCTTTGTGCCTAACAGTTAGTACAACTTCTTACAGATAGAAAGCCGCTTTAAAAACATTTTCATTGTAGTAATAATAGTAATAATAATAATTTTAAAAAAAAAAATCAGTAGCTGTTGTTCACCAGAAGTTTTCATCCATGTCTCCGTGAGAAATGCCTGTAGCACTGTATTAAGGATGGGAGGGAGGGAAAGAAAGCAATATGAGTCCAGAGTAGTTTCTTACCTTAAATATAATTCTTGTTTTAGAGAGAAAGTTAAAGTTCCATGCAGTTTAAGAGACTGCATGTAATCACTGGCTTTATTTTATGTCCACCTACGCTGGAATTCTCCTGCTGGTTCAGTGAACCGAAGGAAATACGCAAGCCTTTAAGGGTGAGGATTTGGGCCTGCAGGAACGGGAAGCCATCTCACCCAGCAGAAAGCGGTGCTGTTTATCCACTCCTTTTGTAGTGCTTACCCAGTGAAAAGAATGCTCTACAGATACCAATTCTGGAGCACCTGAGGTGAGGTCAGGTAAAGGTAAAAGGTAAAACACTTTAAAGGCCCAGCTAATACTGAATCATTGCTACAGTTAGTGTAAGCATTTCATTTTTTTAACCGTTCTGTATTTTTTGTTTATATATCTTTTCAATTCTGCATCTTCAAATAAGCTGAAAGATTTTATAGACGTGGGGTTGGGGGTTTTTCTTTCCCCTATCAAGCAACTAAAAACTACACATCCTTATTTATCGATGTCTGGAGAGACCCAGAGGAAATGCCCAAGTTGTGGTAACTCAGTGCAGGCAGCCAAAAAAAAAAAAAAAACCAAAAATCTCTGAAAAAAGGGTGTGAACGAGTTTGTCAAAAGTCCATGATACTGCTGAGAAATCAAAGCTAGATTCAGTGCTACTAGCAGACTACCTGCAAGGTGCAGTGCAGACAGACTTTTCACAGGGTCATTACCCAAGAAGAATCGCTCACACTTCAGCTGACTGCGAAGGAACTGAGATGCTGCTCAGTGGCAGATAAAAGGTTTTAATTGCCACAGCTACTGAAACAGCTCAGTGAATGTAGTTCCCAGAGCCGAATGCCATGTAGTGCCTAACTTCCCTGTCTAAGAATTGGAAGGATCCTCAATTTTTCCAACACATTTGCTTTTGATTACTAGTTTGTTTATTTTGCTTTTTAAGAAGGCAAATGTCTCTTAAGTGTAATTCATACTGTAACCATTTATTAATATGGGGTAATAGAAGTGATTAAGAGCAATACGTGAGCCTTACCTGTCATCCTTTTCACTAGATAGAAGTCCCTCTGTAAGTGATAATTCTTGTATTTCTTCTTTCTTTGAATCCTGGCAGCCAACAGGAAAATACACTTTCTGTAAATGGTTCTTAAGTCAAGGTTTAAGTGACTCTTAATAATAGCACCTGTACTTTAAGGCACCTAATTGAAAATAAATCCCCTATTTCTACAACTGTTGCATTGTATCTAGAATAATGACACTTTGGAAAATCAGGTTTAGATAATGTCGGAACAAAAGTGTGCTGCAGTCTTTCATCAAAATAATGTTCACCCATGTACATACCTGTTCTTTAAGGTCAAATTTTCCATTTTGCCAGAACAAATTCTGTCAGTTGTGTTAGTGGAACACAAACTGACCTGTGTAGATTCAAACTGTATTTAAACATTTAAACACGGTTTAAACTAAAAATTGAGGACATTTCAGTTTAAATACTGTCCTAGTACCTAAAAACCAAACAAACTAACAACCCCCTCAGCATACCAGGAAAAAAAAAAACCAACCCAACCAACCCACCAACCAAACCCTTGTAAAAGAGTTTTCATTTATTTTTCTTTTGAATCAACACATTTCTGCAATACAAATCCAAACACTCATCTCTGCAGGTTGTTACCTAAAGCTTCTGAATGAAGAAAGAAATGAGAGTATTATTTTCATTCTAAGCATATTTTAGCATGACATAAATTCAGCCAATAATATTTTTGGGACCGGGTTTTAAGAATAATCACCTTGATTGCCAGTTCCTGCTCTCTGCTCTGCTGAATTATTCTCATATATTTTTCTAATGGATTTGGAGTAGGATCCTTAAAGTCACCTTCAGCACCAGAATTCCTGTTTTCAAATTTTCCTCCCTCCTTATTGTCTTCATCTATTATCGTCAAGTCTTGGATCCACTTTAAGACACAAAATTAAATATTGATCAGCTCAAGAAAAATGTCTTTATACCTAAATACCTGCACTACATGCAGGATTTCATGTTAGCCTCGGTAAAACATGCCAGTCCAAAGAGCATTAAGTTTGTTACATGCAGTTCAAGACGGAATGTTAAGCTATTGCTTCAATTCAAAAAGAGACATTCAAGAAATCCCACCCTAACCCTGTGTAGGTGTCTGAGATGCTGTGAGGCCTGAGGCTTCTATGCATGATGTCGACATGTGAACTGAAGAAGAGGAGCTGACACAGCTATGCGAGTTTCCTGAAGGGCCTGGTTTGCTGGTGTGAAGGGTAGCATCAGCATGTCTGATCGGTACCATTAAACTGAATCAAATTAACCAAGGTTTAAGGGTGGGAAGAGGAAGACGAAACAGGAGGGAACAAAAAACAAGTTTTATACAGCTCCTAGAAGCCCAGAATCATAGAATCATAGAATGCTTTGGGTTGGAAGGGACCTTGAGAGATCATCGAGCCCAACCCCCCTGCAGTAAGCAGGGATTGAACCTGTGACCTTGGCGTTACTAGCACCATGCTCTAACCAACTGAGCTAACCCGGCTGGTCAAGACTACTTCAACACATGTTACATCAGCTCAAAGGGATTTAAGCAAACTGCTTAGGGTCTCCTTATAACCTGTGCTTCCAAGAAAGTACCCTAAATACCCTGACACGGGCTAACAACCAGATGGACATTAACGTGTTCTGGTGGTGTCCCACCGGCAGCGGTCCAGACCAGAAAGTCAGCAAATGTATAGCTTGTTCCGACAGCATGGTGACAGCTGCCTTCTAAGTTCTGGCCATAAAACTGTAGCTTCCAGTTACATGAAGCACTGAAGAAAAAGCATCTGTTTCCAGTGAAAAACTTCCTTGGCATCAGGAGAAATTCTAGCAAGACTCTTTGGTTAATCACACAAGTACATAAAAGAACTTAGCCTCTACTACTTGCACTTAAAGAACAAAATGTATTTTTAACCAAGTAACACACAGAGCAATCCTAAAATACATGGCACTACAAAGCTGCATTACTGTCAGAAATTAAAATACTAAATCCTCACCCCTTTGTTAAGCTTTTCCACTTCTTTTTGCTCACTTTCCAAAGCTTCCTGTTGTTCTCTCTCTCTCCTTTCTTCTCTTGCTTGCCTTTCTTCTTCTAAGTTTTTCTCAACTTCTCTGTTGTGTTCTTCAATCTGTCTTTGATCCAGCACTGCTGTGAAAAATGGTTTCAACATCTGTGATTTGATTTATGTAGTTCAGTCATCTACTACAGTAGCATACAAATAAGTAACAGGCTCCTGTATAACAATAATAGTAAATTAAAAACAACTGTTTATACATATACCAAAGTTGTTATTAGGTATCTGGTACTGTTTCTTCCCAACTCTATACATTTTTAGTCTGATATATGACTCACTAAGAGTTAAACAGCAGAGCCAAAGCAGAAGCCAGAGAGTTGACAAATCTCTCTAGGCACTTCTCATTCCTACCATGGACTTTCTCATTAAATCTCTGTTATCCTAAAGTTCATGTTGCTGTATTCTTTTCCTCTCTGCAATATGGCTGGATATAATTCTTCATATTTATAAAGCAAAGTACTTAAAAAAAAAACCTTTGAAATTATTGCAGGACACGCTGCTGATGTGACCAGTATATTTAAAAAGCTGTGTAAGTAGAACAGCATTCAGATAGAAATTAGATGGGCAAACTAAATACTGGGTACTGTTAGAAGCTAGAATGCTCTCCTCTGAATAAAAATAATCATAATGCTTCATCTAGAACAATTAGAAAAGCGGCACACGCTGCACTGAAATCATCCTCATCTACCCAAGAATTAAAACAACATTATGATAATACAGTTTGCGAACAGAGTCAAGAAAAATGAAAAAAATCCAGACAAGCAGTACATAAAATACTTCAAAAAAAAAAAACCAACCCAAAACCACCAAGACAAAGCCTTTCAAGTCTTATTTCTATCAAGAGCAGAAATAATAATTATCCTAAAGAGAAAAGAAAAAAACCAAAATCGTCTCTCCAGAAGCTGGACACAGGGGTGGGACGGGTGGCAGAAGTGTTTAAATTAAAAACAGGGTGAAGAAGACAACCTCATGCAGTAAAGCAAAAGAAAACATTCCTTCCTCTTTATTACATAATTAGCACTTTTGGAAAGATTTTTCCATCACGCCAGCATACGTACCTACAGAATGTTAAATATTTGGCTTTTTGTTTTATACATTTGACATTTAAAAAGGGTATTCACTTTTGTTTCTGAGCTGAGAACTCACTTAAGTCCTGCAGCGAAGCGGCTGTCGCTGGCACAGTGGTTGTGACACGGTTTCCATTGACGATGTCCCCAGATGGATGCAAGGCATCACTTTCACACTGCTCTGGAATGTCCCCCTGATCTGGAGAAGAAATTTGAACAATGGCTTCATTATTTTGTAATTACAATAGCGGAGCACAGCAATGGACACAAAGTGTGGGAATGGCTGAATTAGAACACATAAATATCAGCACTAATTGAGCATTTTCCCTTCAACTTGACCATTTCCCTGAGGATTAAGAATTATCATAGGCTGTACTTGCTTCTTTAATTACAGAATTGTTAGTTTTAAAATCAGCTATTGGAACACATCTGTTTACAAAGCCAAAAGAGATTCATGAATAAATATACAACAGAAAACCAAAATATTTTCATTTCTTTACACAATCAAGATACAGGTCACAGAAAAATTACATGTCCAAGCTTAGCTCATCCTTTCCATGCACATAAAACAACCTTTAATTATTTGATCACATACTATTTCTTCATTAGGATCCTTGCTGCCTTCAGTGCACGGGATGGGTGCTGCTAACTCAGATATTCCACATTGTATTTTCTTCTCCCTGAACAATGTGGCTGTGAATTTACAGTAACACAATCACTGTACTCCTTCGGTGATCATTGCTATGATACCCAACTGCTTCTTAATTATTTATTTGCAAAGTATGCAGACTGCTAGTATCTCAATTTTATGGGAGAAAGCAAAAAGAGATTAAAAAGTCAGGTGTAGCCATTATCTCTAGGCAGCCAAACTGAAATGTGCAGGACCGTTTCTCCAAGCATTTAGTATAATATAGTACAGATACCTTATATATATCCTTAAGTTTTGGGTAAAGGTTTAGAAAATATCAATTTCCCATCCTTCAAATATTATCAAGGTTTCAAGCATTTTTCTTTTCCATGTTATAATAAAACTGAAATATTTTGCACGAAGCAAAACAAGACACCCAAACCCATCAGCCTCTCTCAGAATGGTCTGAATCTCTTTAAACTGAAGTTCTTTTAAAGGTAGTATAGATGTATAGATGAAAGCATCACAGAAAATTTCTGACAAACTGTCAGTCTAGCAAAGTTATGAGTTTTCAGTTTCTTACAAAAGTAACAGGAAGTCCTACCAGCTTTGCCTAGGCAAGTAAATTCTATGTATGTTTTACGTAAGACCAAAATAATGGGCTATCGCACTCAAAAGAAAACCTGTTGTGGTTTTTTGCTCTCTCTCTAGCTTTAGGTTTAAATTATAAGGTTCTCAACAACATTATTTCCGTCTGAGACATCAGTATGTTTCAGGGTATTTAATTAGTAAAAAAATTCCTTTCAAAAATACTTTCCTATTAAATACTGTATCTAACTTCTAAAGGTCTGCTAAGCACACAAATAAACAAAACAAAACCCAAACGCAAAACAATATAGTACAAAACATCTTTACATTAACCTTTCTGCAAAGGAAAAAGAAAAAAAGGTAACACTCTTCATACACCTTCACTCCTTCATGTAAGGGTGGACAGCAAAAGATGCATTATTTCCTTAAGATGAGCACATCAACTAAAAGCAATTACTGCCAACAGACATTCCAATCTTCTCTTGCTAGAGCTCACTCACAGTAAGATTAAAAGGCTTTCCATATTTTCTGGCATCTCCTTTGCTCCATTGTTTTCTTCTACTCTTCCCAACTTCTTCCTTCGTTATATCTTCTATTTACTTTTTACATTTTACATGCTTATTCTCCCCCCAATTACTCCTGGGTTACCATCTCCTTTTTTTTTGCCACTCTGATTTCCTTCTACACACCCAGACTGTCTTTTGATGCAGTCTGACCCAACTAAAGTACTGCTGATGTAGAAATCATTGGCATATGCAAACTTTTAAAATTACTCTTTTGACTACCACACATCACTAAATGATACAGTGGTAACTTATTTGGGCACAGCATCTACTCAGGCCTAATTGCCAAGAAAATGCCACTCTGTTCTCATATGTGATAAAATAAAAGTGAAATATGTAATGTATTCCTAGAAGTCTCTAATATGAAATTAAACAAATAAATCTAAATCTAATTAAAATATGAGATGAGTAGAAACCATTAGTGACTACAGGCTTCGTTCACATTCAAATAATGCATTTAAAGCCTATAAAAAGAAAACTAAATGAGGTAAATTAAAAAACAACAAATGTACTGAGTAAAACTTCACAGAGAAATGCATAGATGAGTCATCAGCTTCTGCTAGTTACCACTAAACACTATCAGCAGATTTGCTGTTTAAACAAACAATATCTCTTTATGGTTGGTTGGTTTTTAAAATACTGAAAGCCATATTCTCACAGGTTCAGGAGAGTGAGCAAGGACATCACTCCATCTTCCATATGACCTAACAACAACCAAAAGAATAAGCGAGTCTCAGACCCAGGAAAACACGCCAGTTAGGAATATTTTCTTTGAAATCAGTGATTCTAACTCTCCTATACAATAATTATAACCTCTTCACCAACTATTAACTTAATTATACCACCCAATGACGTATCTCCACCAGCCTCAAGACTTTACAGACCTCTAACAAAATTTGGAAAGGTGTTCAGCTTACTGTTCACATCTTTCTCATTGACCATTTCACTTACTTTAAACCCAGAGTTTCACGGGAGATAAGGCTTCTCAGGTCCAACATTAAGATGTCACTCAAATGCTGGAAAACTAGGAAATAAAGCCAGTAACTGCCCTTCTGCTTCTCTCTCCATATACAAATGGCTATAAAGTGCATTAACTTTTATTATCCTCTTTTTACAGTACCTTAGATACATCAAAAATTTTTGAAAACTGACCCCTGCAGGCTTGACTGCAGCATATAGAGAGAAGGAAACATTTTCTAGCACGCAATGCAAAACACCACGTAATGACAAAGTTCTTCCTGCAATCAACAGAGAGCAGAAATGTAAATAAATAAAATCCGGGCCTCAGAGAAACAAAAAAAATTAGGATAAAACTCATGTTTCAGTAACTGAACCGTATGTTCCAAAACTACTCAGAGATGCTGATTAATGACACCATAATTGCAAGTGTTCTTCACACGCTTACAGACTTCTAAAGTAACTTCTAATTCATAATACTATTTAAGCTTCAGTCACTGAAGGAAAAATCAACAAGAGTATATGCAATGGCTGCAGAAACTTATCTGCAGAATTACAACTTGGTAATACTGCTCTGATATTGGTCCCTGATGAACACTCCTTGGAGTTTTACTTTATGCAGCAAATATAATAGAGCCTCAAGTTAATTCATATACTAGTACACTTTGCTGTTTAAAAAACCAAAAATCCTACACAACTTTAAAACATTCTGAAACAACTGTCAGACCTACATGCATCAATCAGAAGAAGGTTATGCAAGATTTCTGAACAAAAAGTATGTTCCCAAATTTCAGAACCAACTCAATTTTAGTATCTACCTATTACTACATACCCTTGTCCTTTAAAGATGCAAGTATGAAGAAAATCATACTCATCACCTGAGACTGTTTTTCTTATTTCCAACATATCAGAATTTTTTCTCTCCAACTACAGTCTTAAACTAAGACAACTGTCTTACAACTGTTAAGCCCTAAGGTGTTAAACAAATGGCCTAAAATGCACTAAAACTTACGTTCAAGAGAAGAAATGCATTCTTCAAGGTCCTCATACATTAGTTTCTCTGGTTTGGGGATATCACTGAAATCTTGTTTATCTGTTTGTTGATTATGAAGTCTGAAAGAAGGAGGAAGAATATAAACAATTTAATAAATATAAATGCTAAACTTTCAAGCAAATAGCAATCTGAGATTTAAATACAAGGATTACTCACATGCTTAGCAACAGACTCAACCAAACATAAAAAACATGCGACCAAAATGCTGTAACTTTCTGACTCAAAAAGTCAGCTCCATCTCTCTGATAGCCATCTCCCTGCACCCTTTCCCCAAGGCCTATGTGTGACACAAAGGCACTGCATTAAAACAAAATACACTCTCAAAAGTAGTAAGAAAAAAAAAAAAAGGAGAAATACAATGAAGTGCGACAGTCAACTGAAATTAAGAAATTCGCCTATTTAGGCTCTCTGTTACAGTCTAATTCCCATTTTGATGTCACCTTAACAGATGTGTTTGAAATGTATTAGGATTAGATGTCTGGCAAAACATATATGCAGGGGTGAAAATCTGGGTGCTATGAAAAATGAGGTTAGTGCCCTCATTCTAAATCTCCATTTATCTCATCAGAAAGATAATGTGAAAAAACAGTATCTCTCACGTGACCCAGCTACTAAACTCTGACCAGAACCTGAATAGCAAAAGGAGTGCAGGTCACTAATGAAATTCAGCAGCAGCAGTTCATAAAGGAGCTTACTTCACACCAGCTGGTGCTTTTCACCACGGCATAAATAGGTTTGTGCTTACAATTTCTACAGAATTCAGGTCTTCTACAGGGCAAAAGTGGAGAACAAACAAGACATACCCCCACAATGAGACATGTTCAATAAAAAAATGTAAATCTGGGGACAAACAAATAAATCTGCATTGTCAGAAGGATAGTTCAGTAACGTCAGTAGGGAAAAATACTCTGCAAATTAAATACAACAGAATAAAAGGAACTTGAATTTTCTGGAAGTCTACTTCATGTTTTTAGTCTTTTCTTCACAGAAATGGTTAAGTGTTAAATAATTCTTAAGGATGCAAGGTTCAAGGACACGCATGTCCCTTTCTTCAATACTGTGTCCGGCAACACTGCTAGAAAGACAGTCAAACTGCCTCAGATTCAACTAACAGAAGAGGTCTGGCTCATGAAGACCAGTAAACACACATGTTTCCAAACAGGTTTCAAAATTCATTCCATCAAACAAAGTTGGCAACCAAACCCTGGACTGCACCTAATGTCAATATTCCATAAAATAGTACTGGTGTGCCAATCAACACCAAACAATTAAATTGCATGAGTTATGCTTATAATTACCATTAAAGTTTAAACAAAAAAACCCAACCACCATCTAAACTATTTTGTTAATGTCTGAAATTTCTTTTTTAGCCTTAAACTGGTAACAACCCTCACAATCGGTTTCTTCATCCCTAAACAAAAAAGGAATGGTTTAGATAATAATCTGCCTTGTAACTCTAGTCTTCCTGTCTGTGCTTATTGGCTTCCTTCATACCACTCATATCTTGAAACATAAACAAACAAGGAGCTCCTGTAGTCACAGAAGCAATTGTTCTTCCCCACTAACAGACGTCTAACTTGTAATGGCTTACTGGTGTTACAGCATCATATTCTTTTCTTTTTAAAGAAGTTCCCATTGCCACTTAAAATCTACAGGTCATAAACTAATACACATCAATGATGTGGCATTTGCCTAATAATGAGAGTAAATAGCTGGAAAAGCCCACACATGCATTTCTCAAATATTTTATGTAACAGAAAACAGTCCATGGCACAAAAAATTAAAAAATACTCAACAAAAGAATGTTTTCCCTTTAAGAAAGTCTTGGGAAAGCAGCAAGTTCAAGAAAATTATTGGGACCTCATGCCCTTGCTTTGTCACAAGGAACCCAAGAAAGCAACTACAACCCACAGCTGCCTGCCCAGACCCTGGCCTGTTCTTTGCAACACAACTTGCTCATACTGTTCACTCTAGGCAGCGTGGCCTCTATCACATCCTTCGAAGAAGCACAGTCCCTCACAGTGTATTTTCCTGTATCACCTTAACATGCAGGTTAACGCTCAACCTTCACTTTGTAAGGTCGGTCACAGGAATACAGCAAATCTGAGACATACTGTAGAAAATGTCAATGAGCAGGGAAAGAAGAGGCAGCCACTTAAAGGAACTAATGTCACCATCCCTAGAAATCCCAACAGCTTCAAAGCCAAGAACGTAAAGGCTCTCCCCCAATTCTAACCACAAAAGAGACCCTTTCTACCTTAAATGTGTATTGAGGACTTGGTAACAATAAAATAAGAAAGCCCTATGTATGACTGCTAGAGCTGCCCCAGGACAAGCTGTTCTTCAGCCATCAAATCTGGAATGATGGCTAGCAGGCTAAGGCCAATTCAAGTGTCTCTTCTTGGGAAAGAAACGTTAAAAATTAAATACTCAAGCTTTTTCTGAAGACATCTATTCAGAATTTTCGGTTTTGGAGAGTGGAGGCAGCAGTGACCGTTAAGAATAGAAGAATTTCATACATGGAAACAGGAGATACAGAGAGGAAAGAGAAGTCATTTTTATGCAGCTTAATTTTACCAAGTAATTCATTTACTTAAAAGAGATCTTGAAAAACAAAACAAAGGAAAAGAGAAAAGTTCTGCTACCCATCCCCTTCCCACATGCAAAGGAGACTGGAGATTCCTATTCTGAAAACAGTTATACAGGCACCTGAACGAGCTCTTCAGAGGAAACAAAAAGTTAGCATTACAGCTTGTTAATGAATAAAGTGAGAATGTACAGCTGCTTTGATTTAAATTCTCAGACAGCAGAAACTACCGAGTTTCAATCAGCAAAAGCTTGTCAGTCAGGTCACAGATGTGAAAAATAGAGACACAATAAGAGACATAGCTTTGCTCAAGGAATTAGTGGCCCTTTTATATTAAGGGTTTTTGTGTGCATCAACTACCACCTCACTAGCTTTTGAACATCGAGCATATGCAAAAGGCCTGTTCTGATATGGGAAAGACAAGAGATTATCACTACTTTGGGCAGGAATTTTTGATGAGCTTGTAGTTTTACCTTTTTCTTGAAAAATTATTTCAAGTCATTGAGACATGAAGTTTACCCTTCTCAAGACCCAACATCGTCTTCTGAAATGGAGTTTGTTTTTTTAAGTTAGTCTACAATGTCAGCAGGAGTTCCAGTTAGCCTTCTCAGGATCACATTTATACCAATGGCACAGAAGCCTACTAGAGGAATCAAACCTGTCAAATACCAAAAGAGCCCATGACAGCAAACTGCCAAAAATACGTTCACATTCAGGTAATTCAGATAAGGGTGAGGATCTCCAATAGGATTGTTATAAATAAGACACGCCAAGTGATAGTCAGTTAATTGGCCACTGTAGTACCTTCACATTCCCATTTGCAACACAATACAGGCATTATTCTTAGCCAAAAAAGAATACAGTCTGAATTTTTAAATTATCAATATGGTCCAAAGTTATGGGAAACCGGAAGTCAGATATATCTTGGACATGTGCATACATTCCTCACATGTTTAAAAAGTAAGATTTTTTCATAGATACTATACATAGGTATGCAAGTCAGTTGTTGTTTAACTCAGATTTACTTTTAGGAACAAATTTTACATTTTTAGGAAACGTTAAGAAAACATGTTTTCTGAAATTAGTGATTAATGGAGTATTTATTTGTTAACTATGAATGTTTCGTTCAGCTGTCTGAAAGTGGTCTACTGTGTAAGGAAAGACAATCAAAGAGAAGGTCTACACTGACACAATAGATTTCAAGTGCTGCAGAACTTGCAGCTCTCTTGTAATATGAGGACCCACAACATATCTTGCTTTAAATAACAGCATCCAACGCTCTGAAAAGTTCATCAGAACACTGACACATGAAAAGCAGAGAAGAAAGGGAAAAGCAGAGAAGAAAGGGAAAAGCAGAGAAGAAAGGGAAAAGCAGAATTTTATTGTTAAATCTAGAGTTCTAAGGAGTTACCTACAGCAGCCTGAAAACCAACAAAGTAAATCAGCCTGACCTGAGCCCAGGAACATCTAAACTTTGTAGGACTTGTACCTGTCAGGTGTGCCTTAGTGCTGACACAGCGCACACTGAATGAACCACCTTCTACCTTCGAAGCCACACACGGTAACAAAAAAATACTTACATTGGTTCAAATAGCACAAACTGAAAGTGCTGAGAAGCACAGTTCTAAACAGTGTTTTAATAACAGAGGAATTAATATCCTTAAACAGCAGAATTTGAGCTAAGTTTCAGTGATGGATATTTATCAATTTGCTCTATCTGCATTAAACTATCATGCCTTTAGGATGTTTCCCATTCTCACTCCCCCGGCTTTTTAGTCCTTTGCCTAGCAAAATGTTTCCATGGCAGTGGATTTTTTTAGGCTTTGGAGCTAGTGCTACCATTACTGTTTCTCCCCAACAGAGGGAATCTTTGGAACAACCTTTCATCCTTGCTCAACTACACCAGTGAAATGACTTTACAAACCACTTTGTAAGTCAATCAAGTTTTACTTTGTCATAGGACAAGACTTTTTTTTTTTTTTTGAATAAACACTGCATTCATCAGAAGCTTCCAATGCACTTGAGGTTTAAGTATTTCACTGCACATAAGTTTGCACTGCTAGGAAGCACAAATTTAACAGAGGTGAAAACATCAAATCATGTTTGCCAAAGGTATTTGGACTTGGGGAGAGAGGGTGGTATTTGTTTTTTTTAAAACTACCTTCCTCTTGAGGCATGATCTGAAGAGTGGAAATCCTCATCTGTCTTTAGAAAAGTTCTCACTTATCAAATTCATGTTTTACTTGAGTTGTAAAAGCAGCTATCATCGTGAACAGAAAAATGTTTCTTTAAAAAGCAGGTTAAAAATGTTGCTTTGTATACAATGTTACCTGATTTTCTGGCCACGACTGGATGGTGAGGAAGAAACAGACTCAGAAGATGAAAGTAGATGTGGCTTTGAAATAGGAGAAAGCACCTGGTCAACACTTTGCTGTGAAGAGGCAAGGTACAAGCCACTGACGTCTGCAGATAAAAATCCCACAATTTGTATTAGTCAGTTATTTGTCCTACCACTTCTCAGACAAGGCTGGTTTTTACAACACATGCGTAACTGAACTGTGCAGGCACCACCACTATAGGGTAACTAACATCCAAATCTACCAGGATTAACATGAACTTTCTTGTACTGGTTATTTCTTTTTTTTTTTTCCCCCCACCCCTCCTGTATGATAATTTTCCTCTACAAGCCTTCAGCATCATAAACTTACTCTTCACAAAGCCTATGATTATCATCACCCCATAACACGTCCATGTCCTCCACAAACTGCAGCCCCTCTGCCAAACACCAAAGAATTTCTCCCATGCTGGGCATTAGAGAAAGCAGTTACAGACCCAGATTTCAAGCTAGGGGTGTGCTTACTAGCCAGCAAAAGATAATGCTTGAGGTGTCCCAAAGGCCATTCTTGGTTATGAAAGTTAACCTGGAGGTTTCATTTTCTACAGATTTGTTAAAATGTTAAAATGATGAAGCAAAGAAGAAAATCTTTGAAGATTCTGTCCTCTTCTCAACAGCCGTAAAGCTATCAGGCAAGAACAGACAGTATGACTAGAGAAATCTTGAGTTTCCTAGGAAACCAGGGTAAAAAATAAACCCCCCTGCACTAAAAACTTTTAATCAAACTTGCAAAGTCCAGCACTTTGCTTACATTTTGCTTTGCAATCTTCATTTTCCTTTCCTGTGCAACTGCACAGGTCTTTCATTACTAGACTATGAATTACTTTTTTTCCCCCCAAGATTTGGTATTCACTCAGTAAACAGCTACTGTTATTTTTCTTCTCTTTATTGACCAAATAACTTTTACTGTTGTCAGGGCTAATTTGGCTGAAGAGGTAGAGGAAAAGCCATTATTAACACTCCCATACCTGAAGTTCTTTCAGGTGGCTGCATAGAAGTGCACCCCATTCATGGCGCACATCACACTGCAGGAGTCAGGATGCATCAGACCAAGGCTGCCCGTGGATTTTTATCTCCAGACAGGCCCGATGCCCATGCAACACAGACGAACGCCCTCCAAGGAAGCTGAGCACTTAACAGAATGGGACCCAGCAGTTATGTCATACTCATGTATCAGCAGTACCTATTCGTAGTGGGAGCCCCCAGCCCACCCACATCCAGTCTTTTATAAAACTGCCTGTCAAATCTTCACATGCAGAACAAATGGACCAGAGCAGGTTCAATCCCTGCTTACTGCAGGGGGGTTGGGCTCGATGATCTCTCAAGGTCCCTTCCAACCCAAAAAAGCATTCTATGATTCTATGATTCAGAGCAGCACGTAGTACTTGCCGCATGCACCACCTCGGCGTAACACGTACCGCGGGGTAAGACACAGGTAGCACACCAGACATCTCAGATAGTAATTTACCACAACCTACTACTATTTAGAAATTATCTAGGATTGAACTCACTGATTTTCACTAAAAGACAAATAGCTGAGGTCTTTGGCTCACAGTATGCTGTCTGCAAGACTCACCAACCTTGCTCTCTCTCATCAGAAGGTATGAAGTTTGGTCAAGTAATGATCAAGGTGAAAAGTAATGATCAAGTACCGATCAAGTAATAGGAAGCATGGGTCGGATGGCAATCCAAATTCCCCCCCCCCCCCCCCCAAATATCTTTGCTATTCTATTCTTTCTTCAATAACTACTTCTTGATCCGTATTTCTGTCCAGAGGTTGGAGACGGTAAGCAGGGGAAAACAGAAAAGGACCCTGTCCTGCTTTTAGTTGCTCTTACAGAAATCGGTTTACTCCTTCCCAGTACAAAGACAAAGCCTGAAAGAGGTCCAACATGCATGGGCTTGGGAAGGAAAACAGTCAAATACATGAGATAATTTAAAGGAAGAGAGAGAACCACATACCCTTCCGCTGACAGACCATGCAGTAAAACAGCTGCTAGATCTGCCAACTGCAAGTGTTTTAGAGGAGCACACCCTTCTTCCTTTCATCCTTCGAAGACAGGTGCTGACAACCAAGCTGCAGTTTGTCCCTACATGAGTTGACTGTGCTATACCTCGCTCAAAGGCAAATCAAATCTCAGACTCATGGGCGTAATATCTTTTACCTCTTAAAATTTATTCTGACCTGTTCAGACTGGCATCTTCAGCAGCACCAAAAAGCTTCATGGAAACTTCCAGAATGACTTACGGTTTTCTAACAAAGACACATCTGGTGCTTCAGCCATCTCTAGCATGAAGGATAACATATATACCACTATAAAAGCACTCCTTCTCAGAAGACCCTTGAAACAGAGCTGACATATCAGCAGGGAGGCAATCTAACTGGAAGCAGATAAACCACTCCATGGCATGCTACCACTGAAGCTACAGCGCATACTGGGGCAAGTACCGCATCAGTTCACCTTGAGAACATTTCACCTAGCTGCAACCTGGTTTCTTACACTACATACCATTCAATTTCTGTAACACCTAAGTTAGGTAATACCCTCCTTGGTTATTCAACTCTTATCCCTCTCCAGAATAAGTCAGTCCTGTGCATTAAGCACAGAACAGATCCAATGGAAAAAACAGATCAGCCATCATGTAACAAGCCTCTGACAGGTACAAAGACGGGAAGGATTTTTAATGTTATACACACAAGTTTAATTTTGACATTCTCTAATTTTACAACAAAACCCTACTTTTATGAAAGATTTTTTTGTGTGTGCAGTATTAAGTAATCTGCAAGTAGTTTATACATAAGCTGACAGAGAAAAATTAAAACTTTGCTTTGGAAGTTAAAGTTTTCAAACACATTTTCAATAACAGCACAGTGTTCTACATGCAGAAACACAGAGACAGCCACAATAGATCAGGCTGTTTGTAGCATGTTTCTAACAGTGCCCATTACTAAATAAAACTAAACTACAATTCAAAAAGGAGATGACTTACATCGTACTTCTGGCAACATCTGCCCCGACCTTTCCTCAGTCAATACTTGGGCCCTCCTGACAGGTAAGTTTTACTCCTGCATCTGCATTTGTTGCCACAGAAGCAATAAATTCCACAACTTACTCATGGTACGAAAAAGTACTTCCTTCTCTTTCCTTTCAATTTCATAGAATTCTGGGGTCTGTGAAGCAGTGATTAGTCGATCCCTTTTCACCTTTTCCACATCACTCATTGCTTTCCAGATTTCTCACAGCCCACCTCAGCCAACTCTTTTCCAAACTAAGCTGCCCTTCTTATATTTAACCTTCCTTCATGCAGAAGCTGATCATTATCTTTTTTTTTGGTATCTTTTTTCATCCTATTAAATCCACTCTGAGCTAGGGTGACAAGAATTGCAGATGTACCGCAGATTTGAAACAACATGATTTTTAAAACTTTTTCAATTCTTTTGTATTTTGCTTGCCTTTCTGAGTACTGCGCCTTAAAAAAAAAACCAACAAACTACAAAGTAATTATTAGACACTGTGAAATTAATAGCAAATCACAATTTTCCAATCATGACCAAACACTAATCCCTTTCCCCTCACAATTGCTCAGGAATATTTGATAAAGATGTCACAGCAAAAAGAACAAACAAAAGCAAATCTGGACCTTTCCGACTTGAAAACTCAATTTAAGAGAAGCCAGACGAAGCAGTCTTCTGCTGCACACATTAACTACAATAGCTAAATGAAAAGACAGAAATACAAAGGGAGGGTTATTAAAACTAGGAAATTACAATTAATGTTGCAAAGTAGTTATACTTAATAGCAAGTTGTGAATACAAGTCTGCATGTAATAAAGTTACACCTGTAGTGAATTATAGGCATAGTCTTCTCTTTAAAGCTACCTGAACTAAGTGCAGTATGTTTAGCCTCCCTCAATGTTGTTCTTCAGCACTTGTTTCCATGAAGCAGCAATACTCCGAGCAGCTAGCATATTTTGTCTCTGACTTCTCCTGCCTCTTAGCAAATAACAAATGAGTGATAGACTATCACTGCTAAACCCTTCTCTTCCCATAGCACAAGAGGAACACTAAGCAAAACCCTAATGCCACACCACATTAACAATTGTGACTTACCATCTGAATTTTTCTTGCTACTGAGATCTCTTTCCAATTTGGAAACGGGAGTAGAAGAAAGGCGTCTTGAAGAAGATGCTCCTCTGTGTGGTGGTGTTAAGGGATTTTTGAAGACATCAACCTGCCCAGTTCTTTTGATATGTTTTTCACCTCCTGGACTGCTCAGGGGGGAATGTTGGGAGCTGGGATTATCCTCTAAAAGTTCATGCTGGGTAGTCAAGGGGGGTCTACTAATAGCACACTGTAGAAGTAAAGGGGACTGCATCTTTCTCGGTGTTCTGCTTCCAGCCGCACCCTGCATGACTCTGTGTTGATAGTTCCTGTAGGCCTCTTCCAAATACTCTGCTTCTTTTTCTAGTTCTTTTATTCTAGCCCAGGTTTGCGCCATACACTCCAGGTCAGAATCCGGAGAAGCACTGCGTGGCTGTAACTGCTGACGATAGCCAACTCTAGGCACAGTGTTTACCTTCATCATATCTGTCATAATCTGATGCTTCAGAAATGTGCTATCCACATAAATATCATGAGGTACAATTCTGTCACCAGTGAAGTCAAGGACAGAGCGATCGACAAGTGAAGGCTTTGGATTCCGATACACCTCATTTTCCAGAGCTAAATGATAACAAGAGAAAGTGAGTGACAGTAAAGAGTGAGAGAGGGAGACCCATAATGAAACAGAAACAGTAAAACATGGCATTTAAATTCCAATTTGATCAAAATTATTTTAACATGGAATTGGCTTCAATTTTGGTAATTTAATGGGTTGATTTAAATGTATTTTTAATGTGGCTGCATAACTGCAAATTATCACTGATACTATTTTTTAAATAAATAATCCTTGCATGTAAAACTACCTGAAATATGCACTCTGCAGTGTTATTTCTTAAATTATGTTTAAATAAATAAATAAATAAATAAAACGGCACCACTTTGGACACATTTATCCAATCATGCTGTTAAAGGGCGAGGGACACAGGGCAGGCCATAAGTCTTAACAGTTTCCTTCTATTTAGATCACAAAAGAAATTTGGAGATAAACAACACATCACATAGATAATGTTGTTGCTTTTTAAAAAAAAGTACTTCTCCAAAATTGTCAGTTAAATTGAATGTTTCGGGGCTGTCTGCTTCCTGGCTTGCACTTGTATGCTTCAGCAAGCCCAAAAGACCAATCTATAGGGCTGCATCTTTCTCAGCAAAATGACATCCTTGTTTTTATTCCACATAAATGGTTCTTCAATGACATCCTTAACTCTGATGCAAAATAAAAGTCCATGCAATACTTTCAGTCATTTAATTAAAATATATATTTGCTATTTTGACACTAACAAATTTCCAATTCCAAATGGTGTATTGGTCTAGTGAATAATATAAAGTTTTGCATATACTGAACTATGGTGCAACACAGGCTGTATGTAATGAATAACCATTGCAGAATTCAGTCCCAAACCTTTTATTTATCATACTTGATATTAGCAATTTGACAGATAGGCATCTTTAGAACTACATTTCTTCAGCAGGCTGAATTGCTTTATGCAAGTGCCTCTCTCTTTCTAATGTGCATATGCGGTGCATAAGTTATTAGCCTTGACAACTGTTTAAAAGTTACATTTAAATTTGAGAGGTATGCAATACAATTTCAAATTGATTATTCTTATTATGAACATTCAAGAATCCAAATGCATTAAACCAGAACCTGCCTCCTGGAAAATGGTGATTATGTTATCACCAAACATTACTGTATTCATACTGAAGAAACACAGACAATAAAAACATGCAAGTATTCAGGGAGGAATGTTTTCCATTCCTCCTATATGTTTGTTTTCTGAAAAGAAGGGGAGTTGTGATCAGTCTGCTTTTTAAATTGGGCTTTTAAATAGATTTTGATTTTAAACTTGGAATCTACTCACTGGTAGTATATTAGTTCTATGCAACTGCAGCTTTTTTAAGCTTCTGGAAATTCTTACACTGGTTAGGCAAGTGAACTTCATAAAGGACTACTCTGGTGTAAGACACAAACCTGCCTGTGTTTGTTTCACTTGCAGTTTCAGTTCTTCAACCTGCACATTTAACTTCCTGACAGTAGCTTCAGAGTCCAACAGTTGGGTCTTTAACTGAGCACAACGCTCAACCTATAGGAGATTGAGAGAAAAACAAAAACCAGCATAATTCAAACAAAAAGAAGAATCTCAACTGGCTGAATACTTGTTTCTAAATGTTTTTCAGGTCCAGTCAAACCATATACACATAGTACCCTACTGAAAGTCAGTGCTGACAACTTACTGACTTGGAAAGATTTACTTTGGTTATGTTAGTGGTTTGGGGTTTTTTTTTTTTTGGTTCGGTTTTTGGTGGTGTTTTACATAAAAGTTGTTTACATTAAAAAAAGCAGAATACAAACAACCCCCATAATTACACACCAAACAACTTGCACAGGTACATAGATAAATGTGAACAAGATGACAGGAAGAAGAAAGGATTCAAATTATTTAAAAGACTAATTTACCTCACTTTGTAGCTGCTTTTCCAAAATCTGCCTATGACTTTCAAATTCATCCAGTGCCAGCTTCCTAGAATGTTCCACTCTTCTCAGCTCCACTTGGCAGGCCAGATGCTCCGCCGAGGGCTGGGACAGCTCTACCCAGGAAGAGAAATACTACACACTCAGCCATAGAACAATGAGTGTGCACTTTTCTACATGATACTCCTTCAAAATGTAAAGCCAATTTGTTTTTAGGAACACAACAAGGCTTTGAATGAAGTACTCAGGGATTTTTTTTTCTTCCTTTTACAAAGGACTGAAATTTTTGTTGGTGTAGTCATTTAAGAACTAGACCCAGACTGTGCTATCCTGGAAGAAAAATACATATCTCTACCCTACATAACTGGGTGTACATCTCTACTCTCCCATAATCTCAAATGCACATTAAAAATACTTGGCATTTTATAACTATAGTCAGGCAAGCACTTGAAAATCATAATGCAATGTTCTTGTACCATTATTAACCATACTAATGCTATGGTTAGAAATATTGTACTGCTTTTTTCAAAGGGTGAAAGGGATATTCTTCATATTATTATAGCTACCACTAAATTCAGGATTTCTACTATACAGACATATAGAAAATAAACTTATAATGTCAAGGACTGTTTCCTTTTACACAAACATTAGTTGGAGTTTAATGCAAACTACTAGTAAACATAATACAAAGAATGTATTTTAATGAAAATTTATTTCTAAACAAATACTCATAGGGAAACATAAACAAGAAAATTACTAAATCATCCACACTGACTGTCTCGAAGATGCTGGTTCTCACTGCGAGTCTCATCCAGCTGTTGCCTAAGTAGTTTATTCTGCACTTGAAGCTCCAGTTTCTCCTCCTTTAGCAAAGGATAGTCTGATACCTCTTTCAATTTTTCTGTCAACAACTGATTCTGTTTATTTACCAACAGAACCTGGGCCTTCACTGACTCCAAATCCAGCTGCAGATAAAGAACAGTTTAGAAGCTTATGAACTGCTGTACTTACTTAACAATTACTTTTATTTCCCTTTTTTTAATGTACCTCAAAGGCACTCATTAGAATACAGCTTCTTTAAATTCATGTTTACAATTACCTCAAGCTCTTTTGTGCGTGATATAGCTTGCTTGAGTTCCTCCTTTTTTGTATTAACAGCAATGGCTTCTTCGTGCAAAAGCATAGCTTTCTCTGCAGGGAGGGTTACAAATGCTGAATTAAAATTAGTAGAGTATTCAGTAAAAAAAGTGTATCAGCAAAAAACAGTTTAAGCTGCTCAGCCCAACATTCAATTTAATTCAAGACATAAAAATGACTGAATGTCACACACACTCCTTCAAAATTAAGTAAATCAGTGTATATATATACATATGCATCCATACCCCTTTAGAATTAAGAAATCAAATTCATATGCACATGATATATCATTTCTTTCACATGTCCCCAACTTAAAAGTCTAAATATGTTATCTGTCCCAGCAATCTTCCTCAAGCTCCAATTAAAGATCTTGTGCACAATAAATGTAGAAACTGGCAACCATTCAAGGGTATGCTACCAGACTGTACCAGAGTTCAATTAGAGAATGAATGAGCTAGTAGGACTTCAGAAGGAGATGGGAAACTGAAAAAGCAAAATGCTTTGCAGCCTCTGTCAAAGCAGCAGCTCACAGTTCCCACAGTATTCTGAACAGCAAGGAATTGCCGACCTGTCATGGGATCCTGCTACGTGTTTTCAAAATCCATTTTTATGGCTTTTCTGTCACTTACACCACTATTACCGAACACCGTGACTGTTTAGTAACAACAGTGTTTTGATACCTGTTAGTAAAAGCTCTAGAGATAGACAGCTACTTTATTAATCTCAGAGAGATGGTTACCTTTATTTTTTTTCTCATCTTCAGTAACTTTATTAGTTCTGGCTATGTATTCTTCTTTTAATTCAAGCTGATATCTAGAAGTAAAAAGAATTATGTATTCCCAAAGAATGTGTGTGCGCACACGTGCGTGCATTTGTGTAAACTGCAGTCTTTCCCAGACTAAACTATAATCATACAATTATTTATTGACAAAATTAGTTATTGCAGAGCCACTGAAACAGTTGGAAAGAGCCCTGCCAATCACCTCATTCAACTACCTGCTCAAAAAGGAAGACTACCACCAACTCCAGATCAGTTCAGCTGTAGCTCTTCTTAGCCAACTCTTGAAAAGTTCAAAGGATGTATATTCCACCACCTCCCTGGATGACCTGTGCCAGTGCTGCACTATGCTCCCAGTAAAAATAATTTTTTTCTTCCATGTCCAAGCTGAACCTCCCAAGCCACAATTTACAGCCCCTGCCATATGAACTCAGAGGTCATGCCTGATAGTCCCATAACTATCCTGACAGACCTTTACTAGGCCCTTTTCCAGTTTCTTCATGACTTCCTTGAAGTGGGGAGCCCAAACCTGGGCATGGTATTCCTAGCATAGCCTTCACCAATACCTGAAGGGGATAATAACTTCCCTCAGTCTGTTGGCTGTGCTGCTACTCATGTCGCCCATCATGCCGTTTGCCTTATTTGCCAGAGCATGCTGCTGGCTCACAGTCAACCTGGCATTCACTGTAACTCCCATTCCTCTTCAGAAACACAGCTACTCGGTCGATTCCTTTTCGCCATTTATGCTACTTCATAGGCATATTCTGCCCCATGCCCAGAGCTCTGCACTTCTTGTTAAAATTCCCAACATTTACGTTGACACAATGCCCAAGCTTATCAAAGTCTGTCTGAACTGAAACTCTGCCATTTGTTGTGGAAGTCATTCCCCTTAATTAAGCCTCATGTTCAAAGTTGTTGAGGATGCCCTGTGTCAACATCCAGGTCACAGACGAAGATATCGGACAGTATGGGTCCCAGTACTGGCCCCAAGGGTTCTCTGCCTGTCACTGGCCACCAGCTAGACACTGAGCACTGCCCAGGTACACCACTACTCATAGCCCAGCAGTCATCCAACACTACCATTCAATTTTACTGGAATCTACAGGAGCTAAGAAAGCTCAGCATTTCGCATGATTGGGACACAGATTATAAATGTTTTCAGATACTACCACATCCATCCTCCTGCATTTTTGCAAATGGTCCAGAACACTCAGATCCTTCTCCCAATTATGGTATTCAATGTTTATCATAGAAATAAAAAAGGATTCCTTTTCTAACAAGCATCATCATTTCTATACAAAAAATAGCAGCTCTTCGCTACTTTTCATCAAAGATTTGGGACAAAAGGACATGGATTTTATCTTTCTGAGCATTTGCAGCATGTCTAAAATATTTTGTATGTTGCTAAAATAAGCTAAGCAGCAGTTTATCCTTAAAATAATTTGCTTCTCCTCATAAACCAAAAGCACTTTACAAGCATTATTTGTAACTAGCTGGTATGGACTATATAAAATAAGATACCAAGGTGAGTCAATTAGTTGCATTTCACTGTTCTCTGAAAAAACCTTCAAATATACACAGTTTCAGCTAAGGCATCATTCTTGTCAAAACCTACTCCTTACATCTTTCCTCTGTAATTTAAATAAAGACACACTAACAGAGATAATACTTATTGTTCACTGGCTTGCAATAAAAAGTAATGATACATCAGTCATTTGGTTTAACTGCCTAACTGGAAGACCAGTCCATGCCATCAAATACACGAGTAATAACATGCTGAGAGCACCTGCCTGCGTTGAAGCATCAAGTAACCCTTCAAGTGACCAAAGCACTCCAAGAAAGTACAATAGCAAAGTTAGGATATACCCGCTGCAACACCTCAAAAGCAGTCACAGATGATGTCTTTTGTTTTCAAAGAGCATTTCTAAGCAAATTCTTTGAAACCATGTTCATGTGGATGGTAGTCAATATGAGAGGGTGATCTGTAACAGAGAATCCCTCTCCAAAAATGGGAAGGGGTTAAGGTAAGAGCCAATCTGTCTGTACAAAGGACCACTGTGCCTCTCACCCTTTTTCCAATAACCTATAACATCTCTTTAATGCTAGTTTCCCCTCCATGCCTTTCCTGCATTTGTAAAATGGTCAGTTCTTTTAATTGTGGTCAAAGGAAGTCACTAATACTGCTTCACATCCTCTTGTCTAAACATACAACTAGTGTCACATCTCTTTCCCAAATAACAACACAGAATTAAAACTACAACAATAATATAACCTACAATCAAAAGAGAATTACTTTCTATAGCGAGCTTTTTCTGAACCTGATAGAACATTTTGCCTCCCTAGCAAAGAGCTAAGCAATAATGTAAAGAATTCAAGCTGATTAAAACAAAAACATGGATGTACATTTTCAAAGTCCTTGCTTTGTTACACATTTCAAAAGAAATCCTATAGAATTTATTATTCTGTTTTCATAGGAAGTAGTATGTGTCCTATTAGGGAGAAAAGAAAAATTTACTTTAAGAGTTCCGTCTTAAGCTTTTGGTCATATGTCTCCTCTATGTTCTTCACAGCAACCTCCCGACGCCGAAGTGCATCATCAATAGCTTTATTTTTCTCTTCCTGAAGTTTCCGAGTGCTGAAACATCCATAAATACACAGCCAGGGAGCAGTTATAAAGCCATAACTTTAGGTTTTCGGGGTTTTTTTAAACAACATTTAGAGACATCAAAGGGTAATGTGCTTGCTTGGAACACTGCAGCAATTTAAAATTATGATTAGAATCTGTCCTAGTAATTCACTAAGAACAAGGAGATGTGACACAAACTAAATTGCCCTATTTAAAATCCAGTACCAATCAATTATGCAGCTATCCCGGGTTAACCCTAGCTCAGTTTCCCACACCAGAAAGCCTTCAGAGGAGATAGTGCTGATCATGGTACTCTATCAGCACCCTCTGCTGGCTTGTTAAAAAAACCCCAAAACAATACAGTTTTGTTAGCAGGATACTCATTCTGCTATAAAAAGCAGATGTCAAAGTAATGACATTAGGTAGTATTGAGAACCTGGCCAAAAATGGTTTAGTTATTTTTTTTTTTAACCAAAGAAAACTGATCTTACTAAGGACAAGTTAAAAAAAAAAAAAAAAAAAACAGGACAAAAGAAGCAAAATAGCATATGCATGCCTTATGAGTGTTAGGATTAGATACTGTGTTGTTTGTTTGTTTTAGTTTAAGGACTTCAAAGCAAACATCTGATTCCTTGCCTCCCAAGTGATGCTGCATTGTTCTGGTTGGATGAGGAGCCCAAACTTCTTTTTGTATGGGGTATCCCTACTAATAGAGGCAGTATACACTACTGCTCAAAATGCAAAACACAACTTATGGGATATAGAATTAATCTGTTTCGACATCATAGAAGCAGCAACAACTTGAAACATGCTTTCCAGAAAAAGGACAACAACATAATTTAGCACTGTATATGCCCTTCAGCAACTTACACTTCAAATGCCTCAATTCTTTGCTTCAGTTCCGCCTCTCTGGTCCTTATGACTTCAATATCTTTCAGTAGACTTTGTCTCTGAGCGTATACTTCCTTTGCTTCTATCTGAATCACAGAACAGTATCTCTAGTTTTGCTTCACACTTTATACCATATGTACTATTTAACACGTTCAAACTTCCAAGGATCTTCTGCAGTAATTGGTCTTACTCCATATAAATATTACTTATATAGCCATAATTTCAAATAATATCCAGAAATTATTTTTTTATTCCCATTCTCCTTTTACTCTGAGTAAAAATATTTTAGATGGCTACCTGTAAACACTTTTCTTTTAAGAAATGGCACTGATTAAAACTCATGTAAAAGGAAAAATTGTTTAGAAAAAAATTACAGAATAAGCACATTCAAACATCTGAATTTTAAATAAACAATAATTTTTAGGTTCTTCACAAAAAAAAAAAAAGAGAAAACAAATACCAAAAGCCTCTGATAAAACATGACTTAAAACTGAAACTGAGTCAACCAGCAGTCTTTCAGTTTTTCAGTTTAACTTACAGAAATCAAATTGTAAAGGGAATCCACCAAGTCATGAACGTGACAATACCAAAAGTCACATATCTTCTTATTACTAAAAAAAGAGCTTTTCTTGTTCTTAACTTAAGCACACAAGGCATTAGCCTAAGAAGAGAAAAATTATTATTTTGCCCTATGGGTGCTCATATCAAGTTTGCAAGTCGTGCACTTGATGGTGCTGAAAGACTTAGCTGCTGTTCTGGTGCAAAAAATAGAGCAGTTTGTCAAGCCCTATTTCCTGGGCATAAAGTTATGTTAGCAAAGGGTTAAATGACCTTCTATCTTTAATGCAAATATACTTCAACTCAGCAGAGCTGCTGGTCTCTGTTAAAACAGTCCCCAGGTAAATGAGGCATACACTTTTCAGTGAGTGCAGAAGCTGACATGAGCAATCAAATATCCATACATAATGCTTGATGGATATGCTGAGCTAGTCTTCCTTTTTTTTTTTCCCTCTTTTTTTTTTTAATTACTGAATTAATTTCTTGCCCACAGAAGAAAATTGATAGCGTAAAATAGATGGTTTTCTTGTAAGCTTCTAAGCCATACAACCATGAAAGAATTTCATAGAGTAGTAATAAAATGTTGAATTTTCAGATTGGAAGCAGGTCAATAGTAAAGACCTGTATGATTGCTTTGTTAACCAACATCGTGTGGTCTCAGGGAGTGGCCAAAAAAAAAAGAACACAGAAAAAAACAAACCCAAACCACCAAAAAAACCCACCACACCAGAGCAGAACGGTGGTTAGCATTTGTGGATGACTAAATTATTTGGATAGGAAGGTCTACTGCAGACAGCAGGGGGGTGGCTAGGCAAACAGGCAACAGAACAGCAAGCAAAGTATTCTTCCAGAAACTGAAAGGTCATAGAGACTGGGAGAAGAAATTCAGAACGATACGCAAATTATTGTGTGCTGCAGTAACTGCTACTACTCTGGCAAAACACCAAGAGTTAACAGCCCAAAGGAGTAATTCATCAACAAAAAAAGTATTCAAAGAAACGAAGCAAGATGTTAGCTTATGGTAAGACAGTGGCTATTAGTAATGTTCAACATATAAAGACTTACAGAAATGGCATATTTGTACCATACAGACTGTATATTCCATTTAGTTTAGAATCCTTCTTAGGAATTGAAAGAATTTATACTATAACTAAAAGCTACATTCTGGAAACAGAAAACTGAAAAGTCATATCAACTTTCTGTTAAAAAAAAAATCTCAGTGATCCAAATTCAGCAAAGTTATTAAAACAGATTAAAAAGTACTTATTACATTTAAATCCCTCAATCCTAGCTTGCAGAACAGTTCCTTTTCCAGACAGCTCTACTTAGGTATTTACCCATACTCATTCTTGTGGTTGCTTAAACGCTTTCACCTATTCATGAGAACAAATGTACATTCAAAGTTTTCATTAATAAGCCAAGTAAGATCCGAAGGTAAATCTCCCAACGATAGAAGAACAGTTTAATCAACTCACTGAATCATTTTGTACTAGATTAAGAAAAAAATATTTGGAACTTTACCTCTTGTTGTTTTTGAAGCCTCTCAATAGCATTCTTTTCACGAGAAATCAAGGCTTCAGACTTTGCTTGATGCGTCCTCTCTAACTCATGACGTAGCTCAGAGATTTCTTTCTGGGTCTGCACTTTCTCCTCCATTTTAATCTTTGCTATTTCAACTTCTTTAAAATGTTCTAGCTTTTACATAAAGGAGGAAGAGAGGGTTAAGTAGGGCCATCTTCACATCGACAAAGAGAATCCCTCCTCAGACAATTCTAAATTTCACTTAGAAATTCCTGTTAGGAAATATATCATAGTTCGATGAAACTAAATTACTGTGATAAAAGTATCTTAGCAGCACATAGTATTTGCAGGTCTCGCATAGTTTTCATGCATTTAGCTGGCATCCCAAAGCAGATCTTATACAAAACTAATAGCTTTAGACAAGAGCAAAACAGAGGCCTATGAAGAAAAACACATGGCAGGAGTGATAGTCTGCTTGCAATTAAGGAATGGCCACACTCTTGAATTCCTCCTCTGATACTGTCTCTATTCTTGCCTCTTTCCTAAAGAACCACTTTTGACTGGTGATGCAAGAAATGGCAGAAGCAGACCCATCCTGAATCCCTCAGGAGCAACAGAAATTCATCTGGACACAAAAAAAAAAGAGCTGAACATGTGAAAAAAAAAATGCAGAATATGTAACTCCACATAAAGAGGGTTACAGAAACAGGAGTCCTGACTCACAGACTTCTTAGCACAACTGAAAAAGTAAAATGTGTACAAACAGGAAAGTATGCATCTTGCAACTGCACAGAAGAATCGTAGGGAACATGCCTCCCTACAATGTGTGAAGTGCAATATGTGCAAGAACAAACAGGGTTATAAACAACTATAATAAAAATTTGGAAGAAAACAGAAAGCAAGCATAGTAGAAAAAAAAA